TTTATTTGTTGTTTTTGATATTTTGTTTTTTATTCTATATGCATTTTCTTCTTCTTCTTCGTATAGAAGTGACTCTTTTTATTGCTCCTATTATTGTTTTATTTGTTGTTTTTGATATTTTGTTCTTTTTTATTCTATGTGCATTTTCTCTTCTTCTTCGTATAGAAGTGACTCTTTTTTATTGCTCCTATTATTGTTTTATTTTTGTTCTTTTTATTGTTTTGATATTTTTGTTCTTTTTTTCCATTATTTTCTCTTCTTCTTCGTTAAGTGACGCTTTTATTGCTCCTATTATTGTTTTTATTTGTTGTTTTTGATATTTTGTTCTTTTTATTCCATGTGCATTTTCTCTTCTTCTTCGTATAGAAGTGACTCTTTTTATTGCTCCTATTATTGTTTTATTTGTTGTTTTTGATATTTTGTTCTTTTTATTCTATGTGCATTTTCTCTTCTTCTTCGTATAGAAGTGACTCTTTATGCTCCTATTATTGTTTTATTTTTGTTGTTTTTGATATTTTTTTTTTTTTTTTCCATGTTTTCTCTTCTTCTTCGTATAGAAGTGACTCTTTTATTGCTCCTATTATTGTTTTATTTGTTGTTTTGATATTTTTTTCTTTTTTTTTATTCTATGTGCATTTTCTCTTCTTCTTCGTATAGAAGTGACTCTTTTATTGCTCCTATTATTGTTTTATTTGTTGTTTTTTGATATTTTTTTCTTTTTTATTCTATGTGCATTTTTCTCTTCTTCTTCGTATAGAAGTGACTCTTTTTATTGTTTTTATTTTTTATTTGTTGTTTTTGATATTTTTGTTCTTTTTATTCTATGTGCATTTTCTCTTCTTCTTCGTATAAAGTGACTCTTTTATTGCTCCTATTATTGTTTTTATTTGTTGTTTTTGATATTTTGTTCTTTTTTATTCTATGTGCATTTTTCTCTTCTTCTTCGTATAGAAGTGACTCTTTTTATTGCTCCTATTATTGTTTTATTTGTTGTTTTTTGATATTTTGTTCTTTTTTTATTCCTGCATTTTCTCTTCTTCTTCGTATTGACGCTTTTTATTGTTTATTGAAGTTGTTTTTTTTTATTTTGTTCTTTTTTATTCCATGTGCATTTCTCTTTTCTTCGTATTCTTATTATTTTTTTTATTTGTTGTTTTTGATATTTTGTTCTTTTTATTCTATGTGCATTTTTCTTCTTCTTCGTATAGAAGTGACTCTTTTTATTGCTCCTATTATTGTTTTATTTGTTGTTTTTGATATTTTGTTCTTTTTATTCCATGTGCATTTTCTCTTCTTCTTCGTATAGAAGTGACTCTTTTATTGCTCCTATTATTGTTTTATTTGTTGTTTTTGATATTTTGTTCTTTTTATTCCATGTGCATTTTCTCTTCTTCTTCGTATAGAAGTGACTCTTTTTATTGCTCCTATTATTGTTTTATTTGTTGTTTTTGATATTTTGTTCTTTTTATTCCATGTGCATTTTCTCTTCTTCTTCGTATAGAAGTGACTCTTTTTATTGCTCCTATTATTGTTTTATTTGTTGTTTTTGATATTTTGTTCTTTTTATTCCATGTGCATTTTCTCTTCTTCTTCGTATAGAAGTTTTCTTTTTTATTGTCCTTTTATTGTTTTTTTGTTGTTTTTGATATTTTTGTTCTTTTTTTTTATTTTGCATTTTTGTTCTCTTTATTCTTCGTATAGAAGGGACTCTTTTATTGCTCCTTTTATTGTTTTTTATTTGTTGTTTTTTTTGATATTTTGTTCTTTTTATTCTATTTTGCATTTTCTCTTCTTCTTTATATAAAGTGACTCTTTTTTATTGCTTATTATTGTTTTATTTATTGTTTTTGATATTTTTTTCTTTTTTATTCTATTTGCATTTTTTCTTCTTCTTCGTATAGAAGTGACTCTTTTATTCTCCTTTTTGATATTTTTGATTTCTTTTTATTCTTTGTGCATTTTTCTTCTTCGTATAGAAGTGACTTTTTTATTTAATCTTTATTATTGTTTTATTTTTTGTTTTTGATATTTTGTTCTTTTTTTATTCTTTTGCATTTTCTTTATTCTTCGTATAGAAGTGACTCTTTTGATTTTCCTATTATTGTTTTATTTGTTGTTTTTTGATATTTTTGTTCTTTTTATTCCATGTGCATTTTTTTTTTCTTCTTCGTATAGAAGTTTTTGTTTTTATTGTTCCTATTATTGTTTTTTATTTGTTGTTTTTTTTATTTTTGTTCTTTTTATTCCATGTGCATTTTCTCTTTTCTTCTTCGTTTTGTTCTTTTTTTTGTTGTTTTTTGTTCTTTGTTCTTTTTTTTCCATTGTTTTTTTTTTATTCCAGTTTTGTTTTTTTTGATATTTTGTTCTTTTTTTTTGTTCTTTTTTATTCCAGTTTTTTTTTTTTCTTCTTCGTATAGAAGTTTTTTTTTGTTCTCCTATTATTGTTTTATTTTTTGTTTTTGATATTTTGTTCTTTTTTATTCCAGTATGTGCATTTTTTTCTTCTTTTATTCGTATAGAAGTTTGTTCTTTTTATTGTTTTATTATTGTTTTATTTGTTGTTTTTTGATATTTTTGTTCTTTTTTTTTTCCATGTGCATTTTCTTGTTCTTCTTCGTATAGAAGTGACTTTTTTTTTGCTCCTTTTATTGTTTTTGTTTTTTGTTTTGATATTTTGTTCTTTTTTGTTCCATTATTCCATTTTTCTTCTTCTTCGTTCTAGAAGTCCAGTTTTTGCTTTTTTTATTGTTTTATTTGTTGTTTTGATATTTTGTTCTTTTTATTCTATGTTTGATTTTTCTTCTTCTTCGTATAGTTTTGATTTTTTTTGTTCTTTTATTATTGTTTTTATTTTTTGTTTTTATATTTTGTTCTTTTATTCTATGTGCATTTTTTGTTCTTCTTCGTATAGTTTTGACTTTTTTTGTTCTTTTATTCTATTATTGTTTTATTTGTTGTTTTTTCCATATTTTTTGTTCTTTTTATTCCATGTGCATTTTCTTTCTTCTTCGTATAGAAGTGACTTTTTTTTTTGCTCCCAGTTATTGTTTTATTTGTTGTTTTTCCAGTTTATATTTTGTTCTTTTTTATTCCATGTTGATTTTTTTCTTCTTCGTATAGAAGTTTGTTCTTTTTATTGTTTTGATTATTGTTTTATTTGTTGTTTTTGATATTTTGTTCTTTTTTATTCCATTCCTTCTTCGTATAGAAGTTTTTTTTTTTTTATTCTTTATTTGTTTTTTTTGTTGTTTTATTCCAGTATTTTTGTTTTTTTATTCTTTTTTATTCTTTTTTCTTTTTATTTTTTTTTCTTTTATTCCAGTTTTTTTTTTTTGTTCTTTTTATTCCATTGTTTTATTTGTTGTTTTTGTTTTGATTTTTTTGTGTTTTTTTTGTTCTTTTGTGCATTTTTTATTTATTGCATTTTTCTTCGTATAGAAGTGACGCTTTTATTTTTCCTATTATTGTTTTATTTGTTGTTTTTCCAGTTTTGATATTTTGTTCTTTTTTATTCCATGTGCATTTTTTTTGTTCTTCTTCGTATAGAAGTGACTTTTTTTTTTGTTCTATTATTGTTTTATTTGTTGTTTTTGATATTTTGTTCTTTTTTATTCCATGTGCATTTTTTTGTTCTTCTTATAGAAGTGATTTTTTTGCTCCTATTATTGTTTTGTTATTTGTTGTTTTTTCATTTTTTTTTCTTTTTTATTCCATGTGTTTTTTTTCTTCTTCGTATAGAGTTTTGATTTTTTATTGATTATTGTTTTATTTGTTGTTTTTTGATATTTTGTTCTTTTTATTCCATGTGCATTTTTCTTCTTCTTCGTATAGAAGTGACTCTTTTATTGCTCCTATTATTGTTTTATTTGTTGTTTTGATATTTTGTTCTTTTTATTCCATGTGCATTTTTTCTTCTTCCATAGAAGTGACTCTTTTATTGCTTTATTATTGTTTTATTTGTTGTTTTTGATATTTTGTTCTTTTTATTCCATGTGCATTTTCTCTTTTCGTATAGAAGTGACTCTTTTTATTGCTCCTATTATTGTTTTATTTGTTGTTTTTGATATTTTGTTCTTTTTATTCCATGTGCATTTTCTCTTCTTCTTCGTATAGAAGTGACTCTTTTTATTGCTCCTATTATTGTTTTATTTGTTGTTTTTGATATTTTGTTCTTTTTATTCTATGTGCATTTTCTCTTCTTCTTCGTATAGAAGTGACGCTTTTTATTGCTCCTATTATTGTTTTATTTGTTGTTTTTGATATTTTGTTTTTTTTATTCTATGTGCATTTTCTCTTCTTCTTAGTTTCGAAGTGACTCTTTTTATTGCTCCCCTTATTCTTTTTTTCATGTTTTTCATCTTTGGTTCTTTTTATCTATGTGTATTTTCTCTTCTTCTTCGTATGGGAGTGACTCATTTTATTGCTCCTATCATTGTTTTTTTTTTATGGATTACTCTTTTGTTCTTTTTATTCCATGTGTATTTTCTCATCTTCGCATAGAAGTGATTCTTTTTATTGCTCCTATTATCGTTTTTTTTCACCGTGTTTTTGATATTTTGTTCTTTTTATTCTATGTGTATTTTCTCATCTTCTTCGTATAGAAGTGACTCTTTTTATTGCTCCTATTATTGTTTTATTTCTTTGCTGTTTTGTTCATTATATTCTATGTGCATTTTCTCTTCTTCGTATAGAAGTGAGTCTTTTTATTACTCCCATTATTAATTTTTTTTCTTGTTTTTGCTCTTTTTATTCTATGTGTATTTTCTCTTCTTCTTCCTATAGATGTGATTGATTTTATTGCTCCTATTATATTTTTTCCTTTTTTTTTTCTCTTTTGTTCTTTTTATTCTATGTGTATTTTCTCTTCTTCTTAGTTTAGATTGACTCTTTTTATTGCCCCTATTGTTGTTTTCTGTTTTTCTTGTCCTACTTCTTTGTCTCGTTGTTTTAGTTCTCGCTGATCGCTTTATGTTTTTTCTTCTCCTTTCTTTCCGTTGTACATGTTCCTGTTCCTCTTTTTCTACTTTCTGTCCGTGTTTCTGTTATTGTTTATGTTGTTGCTGTTCTTTTTCTTCTTTTGTACCTCCACTTATTCAACAAAAACCTCTTCTCACACATCTTCCTCGATTTCTTCATTCTTCCTCCTCCTCCTCCTAGTCTTTTTTTCTTCGTCTTTTCTACCTCCTCCTACTTTACCTTTTCACCTAACGCCCCTCCACCCACTTCCACTTCATCGATCTTTTCTCCCTCCTCTTCATCCTCATTCTAATTCTTCTTCTTCTTTCCTACCTATTCCTACTCCTCTATTCATCCACAGTCTCTTTTTCTACCACATCAACTTCCTTGATCTCGTCTTCCCCACCTCTCTCTCCTCGTCTTCATCTTCTTCTTCTTCTTCTTGCTGTTGTTGTCTTTTTCTTGGTTCTGTCATTATTGTTCATTTTATTAACTTTTTTTTTATCTCGTTATTGATCTTCAATTTATTCTTCCTCCTTTTATTCACGCATCTTTCTTTCCATACTGTTTATTTCATTCATGTTATTCATCATTTTGCTTTAGATTTGAACTGACACAAGGGCCTGATTTCTCTTCTTGTATTTTTAATGTCTTCTTCTTCTATTCATTCGCCAACTATTCTTACACATCCGCCTCTTCTCTGACACTGAATTCCTCTATCTCATCTTCCTCTACGCCCGAGACTTCTCCTTTTCTACCTCCTACTACTACTCTTTTTCTCCCACCTCCACTTCCTTAAAGTTTTCTACTTCCTCATCTATTTAATGTTCTTGTTATTCTTTTCCACCGACTCTATTCCAGCAATTCTTCCATCCACTTTCCACTTCTTTCTTTCTTTCTTTCTTTCTTTCTTTCTTTCTTTCTTTCTTCTATTTCTGATTCTGTGTTTCTTCTACATCTCATTCTTTCTTTTCTTTTTTCTTTCTTTCTTTCTTTCTTTCTTTCTTCTATTTCTGATTCTGTGTTTCTTCTACATCTCATTCTTTCTTTTCTTTCTTTCTTTCTTTCTTTCTTTCTTTCTTTCTTTCTTCTATTTCTGATCCTGTGTTTCTTCTACATCTCATTCTTTCTTTCTTTCTTTCTTTCTTTCTTTCTTTCTTTCTTTCTTTTACGTTTATTTGCTGCCTCCTTTCTTTCTTTTTTCTTTCTTTCTTTCTTTTACGTTTATCTGCTGCCTCCTTTCTTTCTTTCTTTCTTTCTTTCTTTCTTCTATTTCTGATCCTGTGTTTCTTCTACATCTCATTCTTTCTTTTCTTTCTTTCTTTTTCTTTCTTTTTACGTTTATTTGCTGCCTCCTTTCTTTCTTTTTTCTTTCTTTCTTTCTTTTACGTTTATCTGCTGCCTCCTTTCTTTCTTTCTTTCTTTCTTTCTTTCTTCTATTTCTGATCCTGTGTTTCTTCTACATCTCATTCTTTCTTTCTTTCTTTCTTTCTTTCTTTTACGTTTATTTGCTGCCTCCTTTCTTTCTTTTTTCTTTCTTTCTTTCTTTTACGTTTATCTGCTGCCTCCTTTCTTTCTTTCTTTCTTTCTTTCTTTCTTCTATTTCTGATCCTGTGTTTCTTCTACATCTCATTCTTTCTTTCTTTCTTTCTTTCTTTCTTTCTTTTACGTTTATTTGCTGCCTCCTTTCTTTCTTTTTTCTTTCTTTCTTTCTTTTACGTTTATCTGCTGCCTCCTTTCTTTCTTTCTTTCTTTCTTTCTTTCTTCTATTTCTAATTTTTTGTTTCTTCTAATTCTGATCTTGTCTTTTTTTTCTGATTCATTTTTTTCTTTTATTTTGGATTCTTTCTTTCTTTCTTTCTTTCTTTCTTTCTTTCATCTATTTCTAATTCTTTCCTCTATTTTTGAATAATCCTCTTCTTCGATCTCCTCTTATTCTCCTCCTCTTTGTCTTATTCTCCTCCCCCTCCTCTTCTTCTTCTTCTTCTTTTGATCGCTTTTTCTTATTATTCAATCCTCCATTTCATTCCACATTGTTCATCATCAAAAATTATTTGTTTCGCTCTTCATCCTCAGCTAATTATCCGTGCTGTTACCATCCGCATTTCTTAAGATGTCTTCATTTCTATCACTCGCTTTTTGTACCCCTGCTCCTTCTTCACATTACTTTTTCTTTGTCTCAATGAGAATTTCTCCTGCTAAACGCATCAAACATGTACATCTGCGCAACATCTGCCCTTCCCGACGCACACCTCAACAATGATTTCATTGCCCAGTCTCCCTTAGGTATCAACAAGTTTCGCCAAAGTCGTATATCAAAAGAAATAACTTTCGGCACCAATGCCAACTCCCATAACCCAACCGACAATTTTCTGTCCAGAAAATTCTTCTTACTTTGATGACAAAAAAAAATGCCAAAAAAAAACAAAACAATGTGTTCTCCACAATCACCCAGAAAAAAAAGCAAGTTATTTCTTTACCTACTAGTCGAGTCTACAGCAGCCTGAAGGCTTCCTGAAGTAACGTTGTTTCTTTCCTTTTTCTCTTTTCATTCAAACTTGAATATTTTGGCTTTTTTTTTCATTACCAAAAACTGTCGCCAATGACAAATGCGCCAAGTAGGAAATTTTCTTTTCGTTTTTCTCTTATATTTTTGCTTTGTGTTTTGCTGGATTACAATCATTTTTTTTTTTTCGCCAGCATTTGCACCCCTCTTCTCACACATGCAAATACACACACATATATATATATATATATATATATATATATATATATATATATATATATATATATATATATATCTCTTCCTCTTTCTTTCCTTTTCATTCATTCATTATTTTCATAATTCTATCTCTAATCGTTTTCTATCTCTGACGCAGTCGTTGCTTCTTTTTGATTCTTTCTTTCTTATTTTCTTCTATATCTGATTCTGTTTTCTTCTATATCTCCATCATTCTTTGTCTCTTTATTTCTTTTTTCTATATCTCATTCTTTCTTTCTTTTATATCTGATTCTTTTTCCTTTTCTTCTATATCTCATTTATTCATTCTCTCTTTCTTTCTTTCTTTCTTTCTTTCTTTCTTTCTTCTATATCTCATTCTTTCTTTCTGCTATATCTGATTTTTTATCTTCTATATTCGATATTTTCTTTCTTAGATATCTAATTATTTTTCTTCTATTTCTGATTCAATCGTTCTTTCTTTCTTTCTTTTATATTTGATTCTTTTTTTCTTTTTTCTATATTTGATTCTTTCTTTCCTTATTCCTTGATTTTCATTTCTGATTCTTTCTTTCTTCTATTTTGACTCTTTCTTTCTGTATTTTTCTACCTAGATCATTAATATTTAATACTTTTTAATTAATATATTTTCTTTCTTTCTTTCTTTCTTCTGTTCCTGATTTTTCTTTATTTTTCCTTCTTTTTTTCTTTTTTTCTATTTCTGATTTTTTTTCTTTTTGTGTTTGTGATTTTTCTTTTTTTCTTTCGTTTCTGATTCTTTCTCTTTTGTTGATTCTCTTTCTTTCTTTCTTTCTTTCTTTTTCTTTATTTCTGATGCTTTCTTTCTTTCTTTCTTTCTTTCTTTCTTTCTACCCATCTCTTTCATTCAATATTTGTCCAATATTTTAATATCTTTTTTTTTACTTTCTCTATGATTCATTTTCTCTCTTTCTCGCCATTAATTAAATAATTCATTGTTTATGTTTTGTCCTTTTTCTCTCTACAAGAGACGCCGTCTTTCTTTGCTGCGCTTTTCTCCTCCTCCTCCTCCTACTTTATCATCTCTCTCTGCATCTGCCTTTACAAATAAACACCGTCTGCGCGAGAAAGGTAGTTCTTAATCAATAAATATCGGAACGTACAGTAGAATTTCCAGAATACGTTTAACAAAATGGAATTCAGAAGGAAAAAGAAAGTATGACTTGAACATGAATTAATAAACTAGAGAATTGTGGAGTGAATGACATATAATCGAAGCAGTTGAAGAAATACATGACTGTGGAGAGGGGGAAGAGATGGAAAGAAAGATCAGATGAAGAGGCCAAAGGAAAAAAGGAGGTGATTGCGGGGGAGGAGGCGGAGGAGAGATTATAAAGAAGAAATTCATTAAATAGATGAGTAGGAAAAAAACTAAAAAGTAGAAGAGGGTGACGAGGAAAAAAAGAAGGAAAAGAAGAAGGAAGTTAAGAAGAGACGAAGAGAATAATGAAGTAGAAGACAAAAAGCAAGAAGAAGTGAAAGGAGAGGAGAAAAGATAAAGAAAAAATAACTTGGATAAAAAAAAAAGATGAGGCCATAAAGAAGAAGGTGATGATGATAATGAATTGAAAATTAAAAAAAGAAAAAGAAAATGAGAGCGAAGTAAGATAAAAAAGGAGGACACAATAAGAAAAAGAAGGAAACGTAAAAAGAAAAAAAGTTTTAGAAAGAAAGTACAAAGAAACAGAAGGAATTAAAAACAAAGAAAGAGAAAAACGAGGCGAAAAGTGGACAAAAACATAATAAAGAAGAAGAAAGAGAAAATCATATGGAAATTACAAATGAAGCAATGACGTTGAATAAAGAAATATGTAGAGAAAGATGAAAATCAAGGAAAACGTAAAAATGATGAAGAATAAAAGAAATGAATGAAGAAAAAGAAAAATGAAAATAAAAAGGAAAAGTTGAATGCAAAAAAATGTAGAAGACAAATTAAAAAAAGGTGAAGAAAATGAAAAAGGAAAGAATAAAGAAGAGATGAAAGGTTAAAAAAATAAAGAAAAAAAAAGGAAAGAAGATCAAAGAGAAAAAGAGAAGTCAATCGCATTTTATCTCAATATCAAAGCAATGAAGTGCGAACCCTTCACTTTACATCGTCTTTGAAAATTCAATGTGATCTTAATTCATCCATTGATATTACATTAGATTTTCTTGTACAGAGATTTCCAACACAAATTTATCGCAAATCCGATTGAGTTTTGTATATCCTATTCAGCCTTAAGGAATTTCCTTGTGCATTTACTGACAACAAACTCAGTTGCACTAAAACTAAAAGTGATTTTGACAAATTATTTCTTCATAGAATTTAGAAAAAATATTATTATTAAAAAAAAACCCTCTTTAAGAGTGATATTAATATTAACCTTATCCTTTTCAGAAAACATTAATTATTAATTGACCGAGCAGCCAGTGCCAATCAAGTTACGTTTTCCTCCGATCCCTAGACGTAGAGATGGAATAAATTAGCGTCTGATATCAACTCATATAGTCATTGTTATAAGCACTTTACTTATTCATTTCTTAATTCGTTTGCTTCTGGATTAGCATCAAAGTGTACTGTTTTCCTTATCTCTACTGGTAATGGTAATATTGCAGGTATGGCTACATGAAAACAATCATTGACTGAGCTGCCAATGCCACACGTGTTACATTTTTCTTAATTCGCAGGCCTCAGCACTGGTATCAAAGTATAGTATCCCTTTTTCGCCTCTCTAATAGTAATGGTAATAGTAGCCTTTTGCTTACAGGAAAACATTTATTGACCGAGGAGCCAATATCATTCAAATTACGCGTTCTTCACTTCCGGGCCATATGACTCGGATCAAGGGATAGTATCTGCTCTTCTGATCTCATATTTTAATGTTAATATTAGCCGTTGCCTTATAAGGAATCATTCAGCATTCACTGGCGGAGCAGCCAGTGCTACTCGTTAAACTTTATTCCACCTTTGACCAAAGTTTGGATCAAAAGGTAGCATTTATTCTCTAATGGTAATTGTATATGTTATATCTTCATTTTATTGAATGAAGATAGCATAATCA